CTTGATGTTGGTCCACTTCTTGATATTTGTCCACTTCTAGATGTTGGTCCACTTCTAGATGTTGGTCCACCTCGTGATATTTGTCCACTTCTAGATGTTGGTCCACTTCTGCATGTTGGTCCACTTCTGGATGTTGGTTTACTTCTGGATATTGTTCCACTTCTGAATGTTGGTCAATTTCTAGATGTTGGTCCACTTCTGGATGTTGGTCTACTTCTGGATATTGGCCAACTTCTGGATATTGGTCCACTTCTTGATGTTGGTTCACTTCAAGATGTTGGTCCAGTTCTGAATATTGGGCCTCATCTGGGTGTTTGTTGGTCCATTTCTGGATGTTGTTCCATCTGTTAGTTGGTCCATTTCTGGATGTTGGTCTTGTTCCAGAATTTGAGTTTTGTGTGTATTACAGATCTGGCTTATGTGCCTTACAGTGTAGACTCTGGGTAAAAGTTCTGGTCCACTTCTTAACTTTAGACTTGTTCCAGAAAATGCGTCAAGTGTGCACATTCGTTTGACAGATTTGGCTTTCGTGTCTTACAGCATGGCAGTTCTTTTTCTTTCCCCTTCATTTTGTCATTTACAAGCTTTGAACACTAGTAGAAATTTCCTTTACTCGTTTACACCTGAACTTTGGACTTGTTTCAGAACTTACGCTGTGTTTTGCACATGAGTATGATTGATCTAGGAATGTGTTTGCAGACTGTTGTTTCCTTGCATCTCAGGCAGATGTACTTCGACTCTAAAGGTAACACCCTTAATCAGCCATGATTTGTCAAATAGATATCAAAAAGCAAAGCTTCGAAAGAAACCTGGCCTCAAGACCAAAGTGTGCAGAGAAATCTACGTGGAACCATAAAGGACCAGCAGCTGAATTAAAATCAAAGCCTCAAGCAATTATATGAGTTGAGTTGATTGAAGAACCGACATCACAGCATTTGGGACATTCCCATAAGTTATCCACCCCTATCTTCAGCAGCCAGTGCAGAGTTCCAATGGCGCCAGTAGCATTCTGAGTATACGTCCATGTTGCCTTTCCTCTGAGGACCCAGTATCAGCCAGAACCTCTCAGCAGCTTGGCTGCATCATTCTCAACACTGGTGGTCCATTTGCTCTTTCGAATTGTACACACTATCCCACAAGGCCCTACCACATTTGTTTTTTCGTGCATCAGTATTCCATCAAGTTGTGCACAGCCAGCCAGCCTGTCTGCTTGTTCATTTCCCAATATGCTGGCATGCTCCGGAGAAAAGATCCAGACATTGCTTCTCACTCGTGACCTCTGCAGCGAAGCAAGCCACTCTGCAAGAAGCAGGCCTGCTCTTACCTTTCTCAGCATGCTTTCAGAGTCAGTTAAATTACGTTATGTGTGTGTCATGTGCTTCAACCAGTGGAAAGCTGCAGTGACTGCCGCCACCTCAATTCTTAAACTGGATGTTGTGGTATTATTATTCCTGCACCAAGTGTAAGTGTCAACCGCTCCTCAACTCATCTATACACAACAACGTAACAGAAAAAAATCGGTTAAGTTACACTTTAAACAAAGCCATGATTATACACACACAAATAATCACGGCAGGTTAAATACAAAATCCCCCCTTCCCAAAGAATACCCTATCTTAAGGCGATCATCATCATCATCATCATCTTGTGTCATTTTATACAGTCGATCCTCCCATTCCTTTATGTCCAATGCAGTCCTTTAGCCCTCATATATAGAATCCAGTATTGCGCCACTTTTTTCTTTCTCTTACATTTCTCCTATAGTTTCTCTTGGACTTCCCTGCTTCTTCTGTCATTTTATTTTTCCCACATCAGTGCTTCTTTAAGAACAACAAATGAAGTGGTTTGGACAACTAACAAGAATGCCCTATTACTATCTGCCACAGCAAGCCACACTAAAACATTACAACGGGTATAGATCGAGTGGAAGACCTAAGAAAATACGGAGTATTGGCATTAAGAACAGCCATACAGAAATGAACATCAGTCTTAATAGTGCTCTTGACAGAGCTCATCAGCAAATTTTACACCCCCCCCCCCCCCCGACACTTCGATGAGGTACAAGGTGGAAGAGAAGCAGAGGATGTGCCTCTTTTGTGATTCACAGCGTTTTCTTCTCAAAATGTGCTCAACATATTGCCGTCTGCTTTCTTTTTTCAAACTGGGAGGTAGGTGCTTGCTGGGAAATAAAGAATCACATTCAACCAGCATCCCTGAATGGGGAGCTTTAGGCTACAATTCAATCAATCAATCAGGTGCCGTCTCCACAATGAAGGTTGGCTGCAATGGATCTCCAACAAGCCCTGTCTCTTGCCCTTGATGTACACTCACTCATACTGCTGTTCGTTCATCTCTTGATGTTGTCCTCCCACTTGTAACGCTGTCTGCCTCTTGCTCACCTACCTTGAACCTTTCCCTCTAAGATGATCTTTACAATACTGTTATGTCTTTTAATGTAGCCAAAATATTTCACCTGTCTTTTTTTTCACCTAGCAACTCTCTTTTCATTCCCAATTTCCTCAGTACATCTGTATTTCATAGCTTTTGTTTTCATGAAATATGACCTAATCTTCTGTCTATCCACATTTTCAAAGAATTGATACGATTTTCCAGTTATTTGTTTATTGTCAATGTCTCTGTGCCGTACAGTAAGGTTGAGAATACATAACATTTGACAATTCTCATTTTTAATGTATTGCTCATTTCTCTTGATGTCAGTAACTTTTGCATGTTGTTGAAAATGTTTTTGGCCATCCCTTTTCTTTTCTTGACTTCTGTTTCGCTTCTGCCGTCACATGTTAATACTTGTACAAGATATATGAAATTTTAACTTGTTCCATTTTCATCCCGTTCACTGTGACATTCATTGTTAGCTGATTATTTTCTGTGCTAAATATCACGGTTTTTGTCTTTTTCAAATTAATATCTAATCCAAATTCTGCACTCCTTCTGTTTACTTGCACCACTAGGTCTTGCAACTCCTGCTCACTCTCTGCTAGCAACACTGTGTCATCAGCATATCTCAGATTGTTTATTATTCTACCACTGATGTTCAGTCCTGGTAATTCTACAATTTCTTTAAAAATGGTTTCTGTACACAAGTTGAAAAGGCTAGGTGACAGCACACATCCTTGTCTTACTCCTCTCTTGGTCTCTATCTGGGGTGAGCAGATGTTGTCATATCTCACTGTTGCTTCTTGCTCCCAGTATAAGTTTCTAATAAGTTTGATATCCTTTCCATCTAGTAGGCTACAATTGTGACTAGGTTATGTGCGCCAGATAAAATTGCGTAGCACTGAACGCCAGCAAGAGCTCTGAAAAAGACTTTGGGAGTGCCGATGCGATCAAACGAGACAGCTCAAAATACTATCCCGGCCTATCATGAAGTCCTCTACTGGCGAGCCAATAAACAACACCCGCTCCCTCCCTCCCCCAAAGCGTTTTGTGACAAAGAACATCACCCCACTGGTGACAGAACAATTTACGACTACTATTCCCCAACACATACCAACTTTCTGCTACCAATGCCAGACATGGACAGTCATAGAAAAACAAACACAATTACAACGTATCAGATGAGAATTAAAAGAAATGCTGCAGGGGGAGGAGGGGGGTAACAAGAAGAGACAGAGTCGACACTGTAGAACTAAGAATAATGGTAGGCACAGCATCAATATATGATTTCATATAACATCCAAGAATCAAATGGTTTGGTCATCTGTCAACTGGTCAAAATGGAACAAAATCTAGAGTCTACTACATGACAATGGCAGGCTACAAGAGGCCAACCAGGAAAGAGATGGGTGGAGGGAGTAAAAGAAACATTACAGACATGCAATATGACACTAACACGAGCTACACAACTAGCAGAACACAGAAAACTACATCCAACTTCTCCATGCAGCACTTTACGGCATAAGTAGTAGGACACAAGAAGAAGAAATCATTATTATCATTATCATGTGCCCTGCCAACTCGCGTAGGCCTTCATGCATCTCTAGAGATCACTATCCCTGGTTGCCTGAAACAGCTCTCTTGATGATATCCCTCCATGCATTCGTTTAAACCCATGCAGCATCATCTCTCTTGGTCTGCCTCTACCCCATTTTTCCACTGATCTTTCTGGTTGTCACCATGTTCTCCAATGTCTCTCTTTTCATTATGTGGCCAAATAACAGTGTTTGTCCCTTTCTTTTTGTTATATATAGAGATCTACTTTCATCAGTTTCTTTCAAGCAATCATTATTAGTTACTCTGGTCGTACAATGTATTCGTAACATTCGTTTTAGAAACCATATCTCTATTGCTTCCAAATTCTTCTTAATTTGTTCAGTGACATTCCAAGATTCGCTACCATACAGCAGAACAGGTTCGATGTAACATTTTAGCACCCTCTTTCTGACATTAAATGAGAGCGATTTATTGCATAAGATATTTTTCATTTTCTGAAATGCAGCTTTCGCTTGACCTATTCTTCTTTTAATCTCTGTCACACATTTTCCATCTGATGATATGATTGTTCCCAGACATTTGAAGAAGTCACCAACAGAAATGTTCACAACATACATAAAATGTACATCATGTCTGTTTATTTTTGTTGTTGTGCTTTCTGCAGTTTTTTTTCAGATTTGAAGACCTCAAGTCTCTCTATGCAGGCTGTCATCCAACACATGTTTTCTACTGATTCATTCAGTTGGCACTCCACTAGAATGCCAACTGGTATTCTATCTGGGATCGTTCTATTGCATGTAGGGAGAATGTCTGCAAAACATGTTCAATATTCTCTGGTGCCTGTCCACGTGAGCAGATTTCCGAGTAGCCAATCTTGAACTTCCTGTACCTGTGGCAGCGAAGTCTGTTGTGTCCAGTTTAGTCTAAATACAATGGTCTGTTTCTTTTCTGTGAGGATGATGACTGATTCTTCAGCACTGTATTCTGAATGGGAAGTGTTCTATTGAGTACACTGTGTGAAATGTTCAAACTTGTCCCATGAAGAAGAATTAACAGTACAATTTCAGGAGTTCATCGCTGACAGCCGATGGCGTCAGGACACCCAGATCGGTAAACATGAGGTTGATGTACTCAGGGGGCGTGTAGTCGACCAATGGGTGCTCCTGGCTTAAATCTTTGTTGGCTTTAAAGGTGGATGCTCGATACTGTAGTTAGGGAAAAAAAATGTATAATGGGTTAATATTGTTCATCATTTTTTAAAATATTAATTCAAGAGGATGAAATATAGATGGGGTTAGTGAACAGATGACATATGCTATGATTTATAAGTGAATATCTTATGCAGGTAATGTCAGAGCAATTGATGTATCAGATATGACATAAATAATGTAAGTGAATACTTAATGTCATCATCATCATCATGTAGCAAGTCCTTTGCAGATTGTCGCTCTCATCACGGTCTGCCTGAAAGGAACTCAGTCTCTCGCCACCTCTCCTGCCTCATGTACTTTCATACTCAAGGAGTCACTTATATCCTGTGCCCATATTCGTGTTGGTCGGCCCCTGCTCCTCCTTCCTGGTACCATGCCCTCTGCTACAATTTGTTCCAATCCGTTGTGGCGCTTGATATGACCACAATATTTTATCTTCCGAGACAGGACACTAACATTTTTTTTTCTTCTTCCTCTGATGCAGATGTTGGGACATAGACTTGAATAATTGCGATGTTCTTTTTTCTTGACTTAAGTCTGACAGTAAGAATTTGGTCACTATCGGATTATATCCAAGAAGTGATGAAGAAACTTTTCTTTTCAGAAAACCCACCCCGCTCAATACTTGATGTAACAGATATGATATAGATCATTTCAGTGAATACTTGAAATATCAGATATAATATAGAAAATTTCAGCAAATACATGATGTATCAGATATTGATGAAGATATAATGTCAGAGAATACAAAGACAAAGACATGATGCAGATAATTTCAATGAATACCTAAGGTAACAAAGACGTGATGCATATAATTTTAATGAATACCTGAGGTAACAAAGACATGATGCAGATAATTTCAATGAATACCTGAGGTAACAAAGACATTATGCATATAATTTTAATGAATACCTGAGGTAACAAAGACATGATGCAGATAATACCTGAGATAACAGACATGATGCAGATAATTTCAATGAATACCTGAGGTAACAAAGACATGATGCAGATTTTACCTGAGGTAACAAAGACATGATGAAGATAATGTCAGGGAATACCTGAATGCTATGATGTTGATTCTTAGTTCAACTAGCAGAACGGCGCTCTCATCACCGTCTGCCTGAAAGAAACGCAGTCTCTTGCCAGCTCTCCCGCCTCATGTACTTTCACATTCAAAGAGTCAATTATATCCTGTGCTCATCTTCGTGTTGGTTGGCCCTGTCTCTCCTTCCTGGTTCAATGCCATCTGCTATTATTTTTTCCAATTTATCCTGGCTGCAATGGGGGATATTTTCACCCAGATTAGGATGGTTGGGGGGAAGGCCTAAAGCTGACCTAAAACACCGAGATAGTCCAGATACTCGGATTAAACGAGAATCTTGAGATAGGTGATGACCGCTAGTTATCACGGGTACCACGAGAATGCGACCAAAGGTCGCCATATGAAAAGTAAAGGACCACCACGTGTTGTCACATGAAACTAACCTGTGGTATAAGTCAGACTTGACTCTGGTCAAGTTTAGTTTGTGTCGACCTGTTGGAGTGAGAGGATGTGCGACCGAAAGTGAGAATGTCAACGTAAGTGTGCTTGTGGAGAAAGGAGACCCTGACGACGAAGTGTGAAGCCGAGATCGACCATGCCAGTCTGTGTGATGGCCAGAACCTCAACCTGAATCCATGGGAGCCGACTTTGGTCAGTGAATGCTTGAAGAAGACTGCTCGTTGAAGGCTGCGTGAATTTGTGTGCGAGAGCTGTTTACTAGGACAACGACAGGACCTTTTCTGTAAGTGTGAATATGTCAATAAACTCATGTCTCGTAAGCTCACATAGGTGTCGGCTTGTACCAGTTGTGTAACGTGGAGCGAGTGAGAAGAACATCCACCACACACGCATGAACACTGCCTAGACAACGAGAAAACAAACACACCCATTTATTACACTGGCGCTTGATATGACCAAAACATTTCAGCTTCCGAGACAAGATGCTGTTTACTGGCCAATCTTCCCTAAGGTTTAGATCTTTTAAAATGTCAGGTTTCTTCTCTTATGTCTGTGACTATTTAACTTTTAAAAGCCTGTTATAGATGTCGGTACTTCTTTTACTTTTGATCCTGCAATGTAGCAGGAAACAAGACGAACGTCCAAAAATGGGAAACACCCAGAACATTCAGCAGGTGAACGTTAAGATTTCAGTAAATCTTTATTTAGACGCATTTTATGATATGTTCATCACCCCCATCCCCTTTTCCACCACTATATGACCCAAGAACCCACACTGTGAACACCTTCAATACAAGGTTTTCTCCGTTTGGTAACCACTGATTACATAAAAGGACAACAGAGACGCCGGCCTACCTTAAAACGATCAGGCACATCTTTCTGATTCAGTGGGAACTCTCGCACAAATTTGAAACTTTCTGCCACAACGTAGACAGGCTTGTTCATCTGTTGGGCACACACAGCGATGGGGTAGGTGCCGATCTGAGACAGACGATATTGATGTTGGTTACAGTTAGCAGATGCAATAACAGCATTTGATTCTTTTTTTTTTAATATATGTGTGAGGGGGTGTGTGTGAGGAAGTGTGTGCAGAAAAGGTAGAAAGGATGTGTCAGAGAGAGGTAGAGAGAAAGGAAAGAGGAGGAGGAATGGCAAAATAGGTTTCTTTTAATTAGGATGATTGTTTTTCACAAAGAGTTTATTAAATCAGATTGTATTACAGACTTTAAATACAGGTGTATATTTTTGGGAAATGAACAGGCCGAAAGGCTGGCTCTGCACAACTTCGTGGAATAGTAATACATGATAAGGCAGACGTGGTTAGTGCCTTGTGGGAGAGCATGTACAGTTTGAAGGAGCAGATGGATCACTACAGTCTGGTGAGATTGATGCAGGGGGAGGATGCATTTGTTGATGAGCACTGTCAACAGCACTCTTAAGATTGTTGTTCATTCCTGTAAGGCTGTTCTTAATGCCATCACTTCATCTTTTCCGAGGTCTTCCACTCGCTCTATACCCATTGTAACGTTTCAGTGTTGCTCGCTGTGGCAGATAGTAGCAGGGCATTCTTGTTAGATGTAGAAACCACTTCATTTGTTGTTCTTTGATGACCTGTAAGACTGGCTTTATTCCTAGCATTCATCTGATTTCATATTCTGTCTTTCTTTGAAACTCCTGCAGCTTTTCTAAAACACATAATTTGTTAAATGTATTAATTTTTTATAAATTAAAAAAACCATATACAGGGGGTAAGAAATAAACACAGCGTGAAGAATTACCTGGGAAAACATTCCCCAGGACAATTTAAACAATTATATATCATGATGTGACGCATGCCACGACCTTTGAACTCCATCACTGCAGCTATTAAGAAAATTTGATGTCAACATTGCTTTAAAAAAGCAATTTGGTTAATAAGATCCCCCCCCCCCCCCCAGCTGCAATATTTTGTAAATATATTTATACCCAGGTCTCATAAACCTGTGCAAATGCAAAGAGAACCAACGACATTAAACTACTCTTCTCAGAAACAGCTGACTACAGAAAGCCGGTTTTGTGGCAACAATGGAAGTGCTGGGTTTGCCGCTTCCCAGGGTGTAAACAGAGAGATGTGCATATATTACTGTTTCTTGTAGATAGAGAGTCTAGGAATCTGACTGCACACACGGACTTGTTCAAATGTGAATGTTCACCTTGTTAATGATGCCACCACTCTCCATGACACCTTCAGCTCCCAGCATCACCTGCTGGACCTTCTCCATGATGTACCTGTGGATACACACACGGATGATGAACAGAACTGATACATGATGTACCTGTGGATACACACACGGATGATGAACAGAACTGATACATGATGTACCTGTGGATACACACACGGATGATGAACAGAACTGATACATGATGTACCTGTGGATACACACACAGATGATGAACAGAACTGATACATGATGTACCTGTGGATACACACACGGATGATGAACAGAACTGATACACGATGTACCTGTGGATACACACACGGATGATGAACAGAACTGATACATGATGTACCTGTGGATACACACACGGATGATGAACAGAACTGATACATGATGTACCTGTGGATACACACACGGATGATGAACAGAACTGATACATGATGTATCTGTGGACACACACACAGATGATGAACAGAACTGATACATGATGTACCTGTGGACACACACACGGATGATGAACAGAACTGATACATGATGTACGCAACTAAAGTATGAGGTACACAAATGAAGCATGATGAACACATGTACACAGCTGAAACATGATGTGTAGACTACACAGCTAAAACATGATATACACAACTGAAACATGGTGTACACGGCTGGAACATAAATGACCATCCTGGCACAGAAACATTTACTGCAAACAGACAAATGACCATCCTGGCACAGAAACATTTACTGCAAACAGACAAATGACCATCCTGCCATAGAAACATTTACTGCAAACAGACAAATGACCATCCTGCCACAGAAACATTTACTGCAAACAGACAAATGACCATCCTGGCACAGAAACATTTACTGCAAACAGACAAATGACCATCCTGAAAGATTGACTACAAAGAGAGAACTATTCTAACAAAGACTGACTTGATGCAGTTAGATAAACAGCCCTCCAACAAAAGGATGGTCAGATTTTAGACAAACGAATAAATGATCACTCTACCTCCCTTTTCCTCAAAATAACTAGTGCATCGAGACTAAAGCTGGTGGTAAAAGTAATGTTTAGCTCCCCAGATCCAGCCATATACACACTAGCTTAATTCTGTTTAGTACTTACTGAGCCATGTGACCTTGCACAAGGTTACCGGGGTGTTCCACAATGCTGTTGATATCACTTTTGTTTATCTCAGCATGCCAGCGCTTTTATCACTCCAAAAACATGGAGAAACTGCGTCTAACATAACCTCCCTAGAAAGTGCTGCAACCTATGTCACAGGCATTCTCTTTCTTGGAATAAAAATGTAATTGCAAGACAACCCAGAAAGAGCACAACAAAGTGGGACACACCCACAACTTCTAGGAAAGTTGACCAGCCCAACAGACTTGTGAATAAAATGTGAACTACTTTGTTCGGGGAAACTAACTTAAACCTAACCAAGCTGTTGTTCTAGTCTTGCAATGACTGAAAATTAGGTAAATTATCACAAATTACATGTCTTTTTACCTCATCAATGAAATTCACTATCACTTTAAGTTTTACACAATGTGCGTTCTTGGGCCTCATTTGAGAAGTTGGGGGGGGGGGGGGGGGGTGGACCCATTGCCCTTTAATACACCCACCCACCCAAACACACAAAAGTAAGTTATGTATCCTTTACAAGACCTGAGTGCTTGTTAGCTGCTTTGGTTTTACTAGGCAATTTCACGGTCAGTAGTTTGCCACTGCTTTCTAGATTTCAAAACCCCTGTTGAAATCAATGTACGGCAGTCTGCTGCCAAGTCACCTGCAGCTGAAATCAAACAGCATACTTCAAATCTCATCTTGACTTTCTAGTCTTTATATTAGCTGGGATTTTAGGATTTCAGACATACAACTAACAGAAATATAGAGACGTGAGAAAAATTACTTTTAAACTGTTTTTTATCTTAAAAAAGTGCATGGATTTGTGCCTTTAGTATTAACTTTTCAAAGCTAAATTGTTTACAAATGACATAAATTTTTTGTGTAATCTATTCTACGAATGCCGAACTTTACAAAAACGAACACATTGAAAAAGTGATATTTTTGTCATAAATTTGAAAAAATGCTGTGTAGTGACCCCTTAAGAGTCAGTGTTTTTACTCTAGTTCATTTTCTGCAAAGATATCAATGTCATCTGCATTACCAAGTATTCTCGTAGTTTCTCCTACAGTACACTCTTGTTTCAATGTCCTTATAATCTTCTCCAGGGCCAAGTTGAAGAGAAATGGAGACAAAGCAGCACCTTGCTTTAAACCAGATGTTATTTTAAAAAAGTCTGACTTACTGCCTTTATATTTTACTATATTATAAGTGTCTTCCATACACAGATGGGTCATGATGATTAACTTCTTTGGTATTCTGAAGTCCTTCATAGCATTCCATAAACTGTTTCTATGTGCACTATTACACGCCTTTTTAAAATCCACAAAAACATGTACACCTCTTCTATATTTACAATTTTGCTCTGCTATTTGCCATAAAATGAATATCTGATCTACTGTACAGACATAACTGAAGAAATTATATCTGGAAAAAGGGGTCACCAACAAACAACTATCATCAGAGACATCATTAAATTAACAGCAAACACAATGATACAAAACTACAAAAGAGAGTTGTTTACAACACTTACCCAACTGCTGCGTCCAGAATGACAGTCACAGGTATTCCAAGTCTGGACAGCTCTTCTTTCACCTGATAGCTGGAAAACAACAAACATAACTGCTGATGTGAACAGTCAGGAATGAGTAGACCAACTGGCAGGTAAAGCACTAATTCAAGCAGGGAGAAGAAAGGAATAAGACAAGCTAGCTGTGTATCCTTTATATAAAAGGTAAAAAGGTAAAGTCGGGAGATGTTAACCAGCGTCATTGCACGCGGTTATAAACCATAAGTGCTTTGCCACCAGTACGGACAGCTGATAAGAAACTGTTGGCTTGTGTCGCCGTCTGCACACAACTCCGTAGCCAACACAGCCTTATCTAGAATCCTAAGGGACTGAGCTGCCTACAGGTTGCATCTTATCCTCGAGTTATGGCCCCTGGCTTTCCCAGGGATATTTATTTTCCTGTTACCCTGTGTCCCGCCAGTCTACTGGCTAGACTTCGACCTGGCTGCTTCGAGATATGAAGATTAGCGATATTGGGTAGTTATGTAGTATTGTCTAATTTGTGTATGCGCTGATAAGGGCTCCATAGCCGCAACGTTCATTTTTGTTCACGTTTATATCTTTCCTTTATACGACACTGCAGAACCGATATCAGCATTTCTGGGATGTTTGTGGCAGTATTACACTGAGTAGTTTGTCACTGCTCAGACAGACCCACTCACATATACATCCACGCAAGCACACACCCACCCACTCACATTTACATCCATGCAAGCACACACCCACCCACTCACATATACATCCCCGCAAGCACACACCCACCCACTCACATATACATCCATGCAAGCACATACCCACCCACTCACATATACATCCACGCAAGCACACACCCACCCACTCACATATACATCCACACAAGCACACACCCACCCACTCACATATACATCCACGCAAGCACACACCCACCCACTCACATATACATCCACGCAAGCACACACCCACCCACTCACATATACATCCACGCAAGCACACACCCACCCACTCACACATACATCCACACAAGCACACACCCACCCACTCACATATACATCCACGCAAGCACACACCCACCCACTCACATATACATCCACGCAAGCACACACCCACCCACTCACATATACATCCATGCAAGCACACACTCACCAACTCACATTTACATCCATGCAAGCACACACCCACCCACTCACATATACATCTACACAAGCACACACCCACCCACTCACATATACATCTAAGCAAGCACACACCCACCCACCCACTGACTTATACATCCACGCCAGCACACACCCACCCACTCTTATATACATCTGTGCAAGCACACACCCACCCGCTCACATATCCATCCATGCAAGCACACACTCACTTACTCACATATCCATCCATGCAAGCACACACCCACCCACTCACATATACATCCATGCAAGCACACACCCACCCACTCACATATACATCCATGCAAGCACACACCCACTCACTCTCATATACATCCATGCAAATACACACCCACGCACTCTCATATACATCCATGCAAGCACACACCCACCCCATCACATTTACATCTATGCAAGCACACACCCACCCGCTCACATATCCATCCATGCAAGCACACACCCACCCCATCACATTTACATCCATGCAAGCACACACCCACCCGCTCACATATCCATCCACGCAAGCACACACCCACCCCATCACATTTATATCCACGCAAGCACACACCCACCCGCTCACATATCCATCCATGCAAGCACACACCCACCCGCTCACATATCCATCCATGCAAGCACACACCCACCCCATCACATATACATCCACACAAGCACACACCCACCCACTCACATTTACATCAACGCTAGCACACACTCACCCACTCTCATATACATACAGAAGAGGGAAGAAGAGGAATTTAAACAATTCTGCAGCAGCAGAAGACGAGGAAAGAGAGGAGAATAAGAAGAGAATAAGAGTATACCTGTTACAGAATTACTCACCCACTTTTGTCAGGACTGGACTCTGTCACGTAGACTGTAAACCGCTTCTTCTCCATAGCGGCCTCCTTTAGAACCTGCATCACCACACGAGATCGAGAGTGTGTGAGGATAGTCTGTGGAACGACAAAAACTCACATTCATAAATAATTGTACAGTATATTTATAGTGAAATTCATGAATAATGGAAATAACATATGAAATAACACTAATCATTATGGGGAAAGTGTATTTAAGATAAAATTTCGGACCGCTGCGAAAGAATATACATGAATCCCTATGTGGCTAAAACAAGAATAGACCCACTGCCTGCCCAAATGCATGCCGTAAGAGTTAACTAATTGGAAGCTTCCTTCGAAGTAAATCTGCCTAAGAAGCAAGGAACCAACAGGCTGCAAACAAATGAGTCAGACCTGTGAAATGGATGTGCACGCACCACTCAGTGTCTGGGAATGGACTAGAAGTGCGCGAACAACTAGAACTTTCCACAAGAGTTTAAAGCCGGTGAATGCAAAGAAGACGAAGATATAAATGAAAACATTTATGAATAATCGGAAAGAATGTTTTCACCGCCTTGACGCCAAGAAAGCCGTTTTCCTGGCTTTTACAGGTTTGAGTGAGTGACTTTTGTCCCACTAGGACATTACACTGAGCAATAAACACCCGGTGACATAACACAGCACCATTCGGATGATGATCACCCATGGAGAGGTCCTAGAAACCCTGTTCAATCGTTATGTTATATTAGGGCTCCCTGCAACAGCCAGGATGGGGCTTCGAAATAACAAAAAATTTGTCCCACCTGGGAATGTGGATTGAATATAACTTTCATGTTTTGGTTGCTGTATGGCAGCAACTGTATAATCTGTAGACATCTTATATTTACCTTCAAAAATAATTGTTTACAGGATATTTGGTTTTCAAAAAAAAAAAAAAGTTTAACATCATATAATTTCAATATTGCGTCACATTGTTTTAAGGGGCAACACCACTTTTAAATAATCAAAGGGAAGGAACAGTTAACTCTTTGCTTAGAACATATTTAGTGATTACTTCCCTTCATGTAAAAAATAAAACCTTTTCTCAATTTCTACATTTCATCAACGCTGGATTCAGATCTTGTGTTCCCCTAGGCACTGAAAAGGAGGACTAAACACATGTGAACTAGTAGACACAAGAAATTACTGACCACACACAAATTACACCTGAACAATTCAACATTCACATAGTTTGCCATACAAAGTTTATATGAATAATTTATCAGGACACACTGTCGGCTACACAAGATTCATATGAACAACTGAACATAAGACATCACTGGCTGCACGCTGTTTCTCTGAACAACTGAAGTAACACACTGCTGTCTACACAAAAAAATTCATTTGAACTACTGAACACAACAGTATTGGCCACACACACACACATTTCACTGAACAAGTTATAAAAATAACAGCCTTAATATTAGCAGATTCTTGGATTCTTGACAGTCTGGTTTCATGGCATAGAGGTGTGTCAGCAAATGAACTAATACATGCTGCAGGAGATTGCAGATTGTGGAGAGGCATGATCGCCCATGCCAGTCGGCAAGGCACCTGATGATGATGATGAATCTCAATAGAGACAGTTGTGATAGTCAAGAATTCTTACCGCACCATCGTCGATAAAATGCTGGGCCATCTTCACACTTTTGCCTCTGGCTTTCAGGGTATTGTTGTAGAATATTTTACCTCTGTGCAACATTATTGTTTGAAAATTCTGGGGAAAAAAGTTTTAACAGATTGTTAAATAAATTTTTCAAGCCTAGGCTGTATTATTTGTGTGTGTGTGTGTGTGTGTGTGTGGGGGGGGGGGGGGGGGGGGGTTTTTAAATAAAATATACACTTGCATTCATCCATCTTAAAGTGCTAAACTGAACCTATCCTGTAATATGCATGTGAAACATGGACAATATACAGACGACTAGAAAAACATTTGCTTATGGCAGAGATGTTGTCTTTGAGAAGAATGCAAAGAACGTCATGAAAGGACAGACCAACTAGCCCAACTGATGGCAGATATGCTGTCTTTTAGTAGAATGTAAAAGCATCATGGAAGGATAGAAAAACATTTGCTCATGGCAGAGATGTTGTCTTTGAGAAGAATGCAAAAAACGTCATGAAAGGACAGACCAACTAGCCCAACTGATGGCAGTAGAATGCAAAAGCATCATGGAAGGATAGAAAAACATTTGCTCATGGCAGAGATGTTGATTTTGATAAAAAATACAAAGAATATCATAGTAGGACAAACAAAATAAGGCAGCCCTCTTCAGACAGATGAAAGTCATAAAATTATATGTTTAGGAAAATGATTTGATTTGATTGAAGACATCACAGCACTCGGGACATTCCCATAAGCGCTCCATCCCCATCTTCAGCAGCCAGCGAAGAGTTCTGATACTAATGGTGCCAGTAGTATTCTGATTAAACGTAAGTCTTGCCTTTCCTCTGAGCCTCGGGCATTTGCCAGAACCACTCGTCACTCCCCCTGCATCAATCTCACCAGACTGTGGTGATCCATCTGCTCCTCCGAACTGTACACGCTCTCCCACAAGACACTAACCACGTCTGCCTTATCATGCATCAGTATTCCACTAAGCTGTGCAGAGCGGGACCTGGTGAAAAAATCCAGACAATACTACTCATGCCTGTCCTAGACACTCTGCACGAAGCATGCCTGTTCTGATCTTCCTCAGCATGCTGAGTCAGTTACAATCGCAATGTGTGTGTGTGTCGTGTTCTCTAGCCAGCGGAAAAGCTGCAGTGACTGCCTCCACCTCTATTCATAAGCTGGATGTGGTATCATATGCTAGGCTCTCCTGCACCAAACGTTGACCATTAACTTTTGCTAAGAAACCCCAAGCACTTTTTTTGCCTCTTGACACTGAACCCTCTGTGTAAAGGATCAAATCCTCAGAGCGAGCATTATCTTGAATTAACTGCTGAATTTCCACCTCCGTGGCACCTGCTGGCCAGTCTCTGTATTCCTGGCTCAGTGTGATTATGACTCTACACAAGTCTGGCTGTTCAGGTGGCACTTTGACCCACTGCTCTTCTCGCCTAATGTTCTCAAGGATGCAAACCTGTCTGGTTGTGTCTTCTGCCTGACAAGGAAAATTAGCGAAGGTAGTGTGTGTGTGTGAATTTACTAGTCCTGTGCCTACCATTGTTCTTAGTTCTTCATTGGTGACTCTGTCTCTCTTTTATTTTCCCACCACAGTTTTTATACATCTTATATGCTGTAATTTTGCACCAGCACGTATGGATGAGCACCTCTTCATCTGAAGTTAAAACAAAACTGATATGCCAGATGAGATGCTGTAGTATGTACCTGGCAAATGTGTCAGGCAATTTTCTTTTTATTTTCTTTGACTTTGCAAAAAACCTGGCTGTAAACTCTGGCGGAAAATCCTGGTTGTTCGTTCACTTCTGGACGTTGATCTTGTTCCAGGACCTAAATTTTGTGTGCACATCTATTTTACAGAGCTGGTTTAATTGTATGCAAACTGTTAGTGCCTTAACTCTCAGGCAGATGCACTCCCACTTACAAGGAAGCCCTTAATTAGTCGACCCATATGACATGCTGGGGGGGGGGGGGGGGGTCTATTCTTGTCATCCCCATAAAAGAGCCCCGGAACCCACACAGGGAGGTTTGATTCCAGCTGCAAGCAATTAAGCAGCAGGACACTTTGCACTGATATTGACATTTAGGTGCTTTTTTTAAATATCCTACCCCAGATGACGTCACAGGACAGTCCAACATTTTAGAGGGTGGTAAGACTGGGTTTCCCAGCTTTCTTATGCTTTAAACGACCCTAAAACATTTGTAACTGGCCCTAACCCCAACCCACCTACGTTCTACAAGGGTGCAGCCCAGGTCCCACGACTGAATGCAGCCTTACCCCCCCCCCCACCCCCCAAATATTAGAATCTCCCGTGACTTGTGGATTTCCCTTGTTTGGGGTAAGATATTAATAAAGCACTCAAATTTGCATCAAGAGTCGATTGATCAGAACACTGGGATCTTCCTTCTTTGTCTTTGTGCTCAGTGGCTGTAAACTCCAGCAGAAAGTCCTGGTTGTTTGTCCAGTTTTTGAACTTGAAGTCTTGTTCCAGACTTGAATTTTGCATGCACATCCATTTTACAGACCTGGCTTAATTGTATGCAGACTGATGGCCCCTTTCCTCATCTCTCAGACAGATGGACTTCGGCTTCATAGGAAACACTCATAATTACAACATGCTTGAGAGGGGGCTGTGAGTTTGCTTCCCCCCCCCCCCCACAAGGGGACGCCGGAACATAATATGCCATCTATTTTTGCGTATCTTCTTTGTTAAAATTTACAGTGGGAAATCACTGCTTTAACCATACTGTCAATGCCAAATTAGAGAAATTCCAGTACCGTATCTTGTAAATTTGCCAGAGTAATAAACCTCAAGAACTGCTCGCATACAGATTTGATGGACGCATAACTGTAGTCTGTGTCCAACATTGCTAAAGTTGCATTCCGGATTGTGTCCACCAGCTCCGACAAAGTGCCAGCTGAAAGATAACAAGTTCAATGTAAAACATTAACATATGGCCAAGAGATTGGACAGCACCATGCCAAGGGCATCAATGTGTCATTTGGACGATTTTCACACAAGTATATTTGTCAACTTTACAACATGTCGAATGCCCAGACAGAAATTCCTTCTACTCTTGTTCTTCTTCTTCACACTCACAGACTGTAAACTTTGGTTGAAAATTCTAGTTGTCCATCCACTCCTAGACTCAAGTCTTATTCCAGAAATTGAAATATGCAGGCATATCCATTTGACAAATCTGGCAAATTTGTATGCAGACTGTTGGTTCCTCACCTCTCAGGCAGATGCATTTTGACTTGTAAGAAAAATTCCTTTTAAAAATAGTCTTCTGCACGTTCACTGGCTGTAAACTCCAGTGGCAAGTTCTGGTTGTTCGTCCACTTATGGACTCTAGTCTTGTTCCAGAACCACCCGTTTTACAGATCTGGCTTATTTGTTTGCAGACTGTTGGTTCCTTGCCTCTCAGGCAGATGTACTCTGACTCTAAAGGATGCCCTAAATTAGTCGACTCTTATGACCTGTTTGCTGGGTAGGCAGTGGGTCTATTCTTGTTTTTCTCAAAATAGGGCCAAGGAATCCACTCGGAGAGAATATAAATAGGTCAAAAAAAAGTTTTGCTTTTGACGTAACTACACCATTTTTAAAGAGACCTCAAATGTTATGGCCCAATGTCTAGACCAGTGGTCTCCAACCTTTTTCAGGTGGCGCCCCCTTGAGCATATGGAAAGGACCCCCATCCCCCTACCCCCATGCAAAACATGGACAATAGGCAAACAAGCTGAAAAACATTTACTCGCAGCAGCGATGTTGGCGTCTGTGGTTTAGGCATTGCAAATGAGTTTCGCAACGCCGGAGTGCCGGGTTCGACCCCAGCTGCGTGGGTTTCAATAGCGGTATAAAGAATCTGATTGTCCAGAAAGCAATGGCAAACTACTAGACATAAATCTGCCTCGAAAAACAACACAGCCAAAAAATGCTGGGGTTGGTTCTGCTGCCATGTGGTTTTTGAGAGAAATGTAAAAAATATCATAGAAGGATAGAAAAACAAACAAAGCATTCCTCACTGAAACAGATGAAAGTTACAAACTTATTAAAATAATTAGACATAGACAGTTAATGTGTTCTGGACATGTCATGAGAGGGAAAGGACATGAGAACTTGGTAACAATTGGTGAGATTGACAGAAAGAGAGCAAGAGGAAGGCAAAGAGATAAACACCTGGATGGCCTATCCAGATGGATGGGATGAGACAAAAACACTGATCTGAGACTCTGGTGATCGTGTCAGATGGCGAAACATGACAGCCTATGCTTACCAGCACGGCACATGACGATGGTCATCATGAAGCAAGTTCTTTGCAAAAGGTTGCTCTCATCACGAATTGCCAGAAAGCTACTCGCCTGCCCTGCCAACATTCTCATCAAATGAACTGTTGTGCCCAGGGTGTCCACACTTGTGCTGGTTGCCTCCTGCCTCCTCTTCCAAGAACCATATATCCCACTACTGTTTTCTCCAACCAGTTATGGTGTTTAACATGGCTTGTAAAGAAGGGTATAAAGGAGAAACAACACACCCATTCACTGTCACTACCAGAGTTCGAATCACTCATCAAGGGAAAATACACAAAATTGTGGAGAGAACAAACCAGCGGTAAATATTTACAAGACCACCCTAGCAGACAAAAAAAGCAAAAGCAACCTACAACAGGGTTCGACACTGCAGTCTTAACTATTACATACATAAAAAACTGTACAGTCTCCACTTAGGGTGTGCCAGATGGGACCACAAACACATAAGCATATTCTGTACACCTGCCCACTATACTTAAACCTACAAAGGAAAACCTGGTCTCAAGAGCAAAGTGTGCCGTTCATTGTTCATCATCTTCATCGCACATGGGACAAGTGCTCTAATCTCCTCCTGAGTAAATTTCCAAGTGTTTACATGGGACAAGTGCTCTAATCTCCTCCTGAGTAAATTTCCAAGTGTTTTAAGTTAACAACTCCCATTCTGTTCTGGTTGATGTAACGACAGGTGGCTCCAGTGTATGCAGTCTATTCACATTATTTTCCATGAAATTGGAAGTCACAGCATTTAGTCTCTCGTATGGCATTAATGATGTCTCTCCTGTCTTTAGATCACCTATTCCTGATAGTCTCACTGCCAGTCAGCATTTCTGCTCTCTCATTGCCCTTCACACCAGCATCTATTGGGATAAGACTGAAAGTGTGACGAGCAAACTAAGAGTAACCATGCAGGACATGAAACTGATGTTGTGGGGCAACTAAGAATGGACAAACTATTCACAAAAAGTGTGACACAGAAAGGCAACTAATAAAAAGTTGACTGAAATCAAACATGTTGGGCCGAAACGCACAGATTAAGCAGCCTGGCTGAAAGCCACAACATAACGTCCAAGAAAAAACAAGTTTCAAGCAATAACAGATAATGATAAGAAGACAAAAACAGCAGCAAACTATTGACAACAAATATTAATTAAAACGTAGCTTCCTATATATCTGACAAAGACAGTAAATGCAAACATACAAACTTTATTTCCAAAGTGCCCCCCCTCCCCCAGTGGGTTCCTGGGCCCCATTTTCCCCATCCCGGGGAAACAAGAATAGACCCACTGCCTCTCCAACAAGCATGTCGTAAGAGTCGAATAATCGGGGGTATCCTTTAAAGTCAGAGTGCATCTGCCTGAGAGGCAAGGAACCAACAGTCTGCATATAAAAAAAGTAAGATCTGTAAAACAGATGTGCACACGCAAAACTCAGGTCCTGAAACAAAGCTAAAATCCAGAAATGGACAATAAGCAAACGTATTTTTGCCGAGGTTTACAGCCGGTGAATACAAACAACAAACTGTCACAAATCGGATACATAGGCTTGTCATTCATCTGACCCTTCTAAACACTTATCTTTGACACAGCGACTGTGGCAGCAAATGCTGTTCACAAAGATAACAATTACCTTTGCTGCTTTCCATACGTATGACAAGAAGAGTAACTGCGGCAAGAGGTCACAAAACACACACACACACAAATCAACAACAAAATAAAAGTAACAACATTTCTTTTAAAAAAAAAAAAAGAACATATTTACCATTATTCCTTTCCATAAGTATGACAATAACAGTAACTGAGGCTAAAGAGATAAGAAAAACAACATACATATCAATAAGAAAACAGACAAAAAAATATCATTTTTACCGTTACTGCATTCCACAAGAATAGTAACTGCAGCAAAAGAGGTAACAAAACATACATAAAAATCAACAAGTAAACAAAACAAAAAAATCATATTCACCATTATTGCTTTCCATAAGTCTAACAAGGACAGTAACTGCAGCAACGGCAGCAGACATCTCAGGATCCGTCCGGAGCAGCTCGTTAAAATCTCTGGTGACATCTGTCATTGAAACAACAGCCATACTGCATTACGTTTTATATAATGAAATTAGCGTAATCATCATGCAAAAATATTGATTGTTTTCACCCGAAAACAATGCAGGGCTTTCATGTTTTGATGCCTGAAGGAATCTAACTATCGTTTATTACATTATAAAACAGAGACAGATTTAGTACATTTAAAAAAAAATGTTTTCAGGCAGATATTTTTTACCCATAAAGATGGGAGCATCACAGGTTTTTGTTTGTTGATTAGCTAAATTTAGTTACTGTAAACAAATTCTGTGCCCGGTTTTTACGTAAAATGTGCAGTGTTTTTACGTGAAATTGTTGATGTCATCCGTGACAATGTCAAGGTTGTTCCTGTGCAGGTTCCGGGCCCCCGATTTTGGGAGGGAAAAAGGTTCTTTATTATTATTATCTTACCCCAGATGATGTCACAGGACAGTCCACCTTTTTAGAGGGTGGTAAGACTGGGTTTCCCGGCTTTCTGATGCTTTTAACAACCCCAAAACATCTAGAACTGGCCCTAACTCCAACATACCTACGTCCCACGAGAGAGTGCAGCCTAGGTCCCACGACTGCATGCAGCCTATCTACCACCCCCTGAAATATTAGACTGTCCCGTAACCTGTGGATTTCCCCTGTTTGGGGTCGGATATTAATATAGCACCAGGGGAAAAAGACTTACTGTCTTAAACACGCATGTCATAAAAGGCGATCAATTAACCCTTTCAGTCCCGAGCAGTTATCTTAATCCCTTATAAACATATTGCTCTTCTTATCTGGCAGCTTCTGCAGCCTTTGTTCCAAAGGTACTGGTGTTACCTTTCCTCTGAAGTAAACAACTGGGCTGCGTGGTCTCAGGGTATGGTGTCCGCCTTGCTAGAGGTTCTGGGTTCAATCCCAGGTAAGGGCTGGGATTGTTTCACGTGGACTTGGACTTCTAGTAATTCTCCTTGGTCTATGGGTATTGAGATCGAACGCCTGTGTGCATTGTTGCACACATAAAAAATCCCTTGGCAGCTGGAAATCGAAACGATTAGCCTAACAGCGCTACCTGGGCAAAATTTTGGCTTTAAAATCTAAACAAAGTATTTCAGGATCCTCGCCGGTGCTACACAGCCTGTGCGTTGTGCTGAGCATCATCGAACTCAGACCTGGGTTAGAATAACAGAGCGCTTATGGGTTACTGCCTGTGTGCCATGATGTTGGTCCGTGGTTCACACCGTTGTAAACAAGGCAGGTCGAGAGAGGGATTATGATGCACTGGCTACATATGCTCTCTACAATACTGCCCAAGCTTTGTGCCATGGAGAGGATAAGCTTTATCCCTGGTCTTAATTGGTCTCGGAAACAAATCATGAGGCAGCAGTTATAAGTTGTAAGTCCTTGTCAGCTGGCAAAGACAAGGGCAACACAGGTTGCCTCTGATGGTGGGAGACATCTTCAGCCTTATGTGCTTTCATAACTAATGCAAATCAGGCATTTGCACATGTGGTATGGCACCTGAGACAACAGATCATGCCTTCCAAGACTGTCCCAAATACAACATATCAAGGCAAAACTTTTGATCAAGAAAAACATCGGTGCAAGTCAAACTTTACAGGTCACTGGGCGAATTACAAAAGACAGTGAAGTTCATACCAGAGACAGCATTGCAGGTATAGAAAATCTATTTCAAGCGAACGAAAAAAAAAAGAAGAAGTAGAAGATAACTAATGCATCTACTATGTCCTATATCCAACTTCGCAGAGGTCAGCCTCTGCCTCATCTTCTAGAAACTGCATCCTCCATCATCATTCTCTCCTGACATTCACACCGCTATCCCTTTGGTTAAAGATGCTGTTTATTGTTCCTTTTTGAGATCACCTTCATCGCACTTCGGACATGACCATAAGTGTTACCAATCTCCTTCTGAGTATGTCTCCAAGTGTTTTTGGGCTAACAACTCCCATTCTGTTCTGGTTCATGTAACAACGGGTGGCTCCTGCATGGTTTTTCGGTCTCATGGCTCTAACTGGTACACCCAGGGTATTCAATGAAAAGTCATTTTCCACAAAATTGAAAGCCTCACAAGTTCACCTTTATGTTCTAGTCATGCAGGATGTTAATATTTTCCTTCTTGTTCCACAGTATGCTAGGAATTTTTCTGTCACATCTCAGTTCAAAAACTTCAATTTCCTTCTCCAAAGACTAAGACAGAATCCATGACTCGCACCCATATGAGGATGTTATGGTTGGAAACAAACTGCAATTGAACTATACCAGAAAAAATTAATTATTACCAGATAACTTCAAGCAAGTCACAAGCTGAGTGGTCTCAAGGTATAGCGTTCGCCTCGAGTGCAGGGGGTTCCTGGTTTAAACCCTTGTGACGGCTGGGGATTTTTTACGTGGACTATTAGTAATTTCTCTGGGTAGTAAGATCGGACGCCCATGTATATTGCTGCGCACGTAAAAAAATTCCTTCGCAGTTGGAAATAAAAAAAAAGAGTAGCTTAACGGATCTGCCCAAGCAAAATTTTGAGTAAAAAATCTACCCAAAGTATTTCAGGATCCTCGTCGGTGAAACAGAGTTTGTGCACTGCGCTGAGAATCTTTAGACTCAGGCTTGAGTTAGAAGTAGAACGGAGCACTTATGGGTTACACCTGTGTGCTATGATGTTGATCCGTTGTATAAACACAGAGTCACAATAGTTATAACAGCAGCTCTCGCCAATCAGTAACCACCTGCTAACTACTTCTTCTTCTTCACTGTTTATCTGAGTGACATAATTGCATTGTGCCTTTTTAAAGCATACCTGGTCAGTTGACAGCTTAGTGAAACAATTTTTGGAAGCTGTGTTTTATAGACGAATGATGATAATACCCTGGACAGCTAAATATGAGTAATGAAGACATCTTGAAAGAAAGTGATTCACAAAGAGAATTGACTGTCCACATCAGAAAGAGACATCTACATTCTTTAATCATGTGATGAGAAGGAGAAAACTGGAGTGTGCTATGACAGTAGGAAAGTTGGAGGGGAGATGAGGCAGAGGGAGACTGAAAGAAAAGATGCTGGACAGCTTGACATTATGGCACAGAGAATCATCTGTGACAGAGTTGACTGAAAGTACACAAGACAGAAGGCTGTGGATAGACATGACTACCAACACCACACAGCATGGACTATGGAAGATCATCTGTATCAGAGCTGACTGAAAGAACACGAGACAGAAGACTGTGGATAGACATGACTACCAACGCCACACGGCATGAACTTTAAGAAGAAGAAGAAGAAGAGCAAAGCTGCAATATTTGTATGATTTGGCCGAGATATGCAACTTCATCAGGCATTAGTTCATCAGTTTAGTCTTCGCGGGCCTGCTCATTTTATTACTGGAATATTTCTTTTTCTCTGTAAAATTCTTCACTGGTTTTCCAGGAAGGGAACCGAGCACGTGTAGGGATTTACTGTGCAAATGGTGTCAATTCTTCATTCATGCTTTCTTCTTCTTCTGAACTTAGTGTGAACTACAGTAAAAGTTCTGGTTGGTCATAACAATCTGGGTTTATATCTTTTTACAGGGGTCGAGTTTTGCGGGCACATCTAGTTTCCTGATCTCGTTTATTATGTGCAGAGAGTTGGTTCCTTGCCTCTTAACCAGATGTAAGATCTATTTTTATGCCTTTTTTTGTGAAAGGGGGGGGGGTTCCCCTTTATTTCAACTCTGTATGTTTGCGAGTATTGTGTTTTTCCTGCTATCATGTAAATATTTGTCTGTTTGCTTATGTTTTGTTTGTCTGTTAACATATGTTGCCGTTTGTTTATGTTTGTTAGTGTTATGTTCAAATGTAGTCAAAAACACAAGAAAGAAAAGGGTAATGGGAGTTTGGTGACAGTGGGGATTAGTCACTTTTTATTTATTTTTATCAAAGTCAGTCGTTTTCAATTTATTGTCCAGTTTGGTCTTTGACCCATTCCTCCCAGAAAAGGTCTGCTCTGCTTTGAAATTCTTCTTTGTGTTTCTCATAGAAGATCTCTAGATCTGTCCGTTCTGCTAATTCTCCTTCTTCGCGACTTTCCTCTGTTTGTTTCTGTGCTAGGTCATCGATATGTTCTCTGTGGTTTCGGTAATAGAACTCTCCATATGCGGACAAACCAAAATGGGTTTGTTCTCCGGCCTCTTTTCTCATTCTTTTTAATTCCTGTAGGAAAAATTCCTATAGTATGCCGCCTTCTAATTCTGGTTCTTTGTTGTCATCTATCGTCTCTTCTGTGTCTGTTTCTGGTGTTTCGGGATGTTTCTTGACTTCCTCTGGTGGTTCTGGGGACAAGGGTGATAGTGGTGGGTCTGGAAGTTTTTCCTTCTCCAAGGCTGTGACAAGTTACTCGGTCGTGGTCTTCTGTGCTGCGGGAACGGCTGCCGTGCCAGCTGGTTTTGCTGTCTTTTTCTTTTGTGGTTCCTTGTCTTTGTTCTCAATCACTGTGTTGAGTGTTTTGATTGTGGCTTCTTTTTGGTATTTCTTGTGCTGCTGATGTTGTCTTTGGAAGAACTGTTGTCTTTGTTTTGCTCTCAGTTTCTTTGTTGAGTGCCCTTGCCGCAGCCTCTGTTGGAATTTCTTCCGCTGCAGGAGCTGTGACTGTGGCAACGGGTTCTGTTTCCTTTGTCTTTGGCTCAGGCTTCGTGGTCTTTGTCGTTGGATGGCGTGGGTTGGTCTGTTTCCTCTTTTCAGGACACTTGTTGGACCAGTGGTCGTCATGCTTGCAATGCATGCAGGCAATCTGTCTTCCTGGCATGGTAATGAGTACCTTGTGGTTGTGTCTAGTTATACCGGGAGTTTCTATGCAGATGTAATGAGGTATGTCTCTTGTTGGCCTGCACATGGCTCCCCACTTTCGCTCGTCATAGTGGATTGGGAAGACTTGTGGTTTGGTATCGCCTGTTATGACTCGGACGACATCTTCTACTCCTTCGGTGTTCAGTTGGCTTGGGAGCCAGTTTAGGGTGATACGCTTTCTCTGTTGTCCGTAGTGCTCAATTCTGCACGTAATATTCTCATCTTCCAGGGTCACTGATTTCCCATGCAGGGTTTGGAACATTCGTTTGTGACTTCCTGGTGACAGACAGAAGAACCATTCCGTTGGACATTCGTGACGATACAAGTCGATGATCCCATTTTCTCCCCACTTTCGCTCGTCATAGTGGATTGGGAAGACTTGTGGTTTGGTATCGCCTGTTATGACTCGGACGACATCTTCTACTCCTTCGGTGTTCAGTTGGCTTGGGAGCCAGTTTAGGGTGATACGCTTTCTCTGTTGTCCGTAGTGCTCAATTCTGCACGTAATATTCTCATCTTCCAGGGTCACTGATTTCCCATGCAGGGTTTGGAACATTCGTTTGTGACTTCCTGGTGACAGACAGAAGAACCATTCCGTTGGACATTCGTGACGATACAAGTCGATGATCCCATTTTCCGGTATGGCAAAGGGGCCTAACAACATGGCCAACATGAAGCCAGGTTTGCTCTTCGCAGCTGCCTTGGGTCCGTCGATGGTGCAGACTAAAGTGTCAGGCCTATGTAGGGCGGGGTTTGTGTATTTATTCGAAGGTACGGTGATCTTCTCCATTTTTGATAACCAAGTAGTCCAGAATTGAAATCACTTTTTTAAATTACCTCAAACACAGTAATCCAACAAACTTTAGTAATCCGGTATGAAAATCCGGTATGAAAATCCACTTTGTACTTATAAATCTCAATATAGTTTCACAAAACGTAGACCGAAATCCGCCATCTTACTTGAATATTAAAATTTTCAATATAGTTCCACAAACGGTAGATTGAAATCCGCCATCTTGCTTGAATATGAATTCTCAATATACTTTCACAAATGGTAGACTGAAATCCGCCATATTGCATAAATCTTGATAAAGGCCAAAAGGTTTTAATTTTTGGCTCCCTTGCTACTAACTATTGGTGGCATGATGTAGGTGCATCAGGCATATGGGAAGAGCACCCATATTTTTTACAGACCAATCGGCACTAAGTGGATAATGTGGTCAGCATTTTGCCAGCCTTCTTTACTTCCCAAGGACAGCCATCCTGGTACCTATTTGAGACTGAGTCGACCTGTGACGCCCCATACTCCTATGATAAAAATCCCCGCAGCCAGCAGTGGGTTTCGATCGCAGTACATTGATGTGATTTATAGTCCGGCCATCTGCAACTAAGATAGAACTGACTAATCTATCAGCTCCTTCATTGACAACAAAACTCTGGTGCCACTTCATAAACATGTGAAGCAAATAAAATGGAGGAAGCTGCATGAGATGCGGTAGATGCTGCTCGTGACTCCCAGCCATCTAGTTTAGTCCCGCTCCGCCCCACACGTAGCGGCACGGGAGATACTCTCAGCAGTGACTTAAACTCGCCAGAAAGAGGTCTGCAATTTACATGTGACTGAGGCCCTGTTGGGGTATATTTTCGGCTTCCATAATTTGGGGCCGTTATTAGGAGGATAGCCAAATTTATATTTTTGACAAATGTGTTATTTGGTTTACATCTCTAACATTCTTTCTTTTTCCTTTCCTTTCTCCCCTCGTCTCAGTGCCAACCTTTTTTATTTTTTTTTCTATCACTTTCCTTTCATTTTCTGTGTCTCCTTCTCTTTCCCTCTAGTTATTCTTGGCCCCTCCCCCCGTAGTAATGGTAGAAGAGAAATATAAGAGGAGTCCACTGGTACAGTGAAAAGAACGATTGCTGCATGATTAGCCACTCATGCCGAAATTAAACCTGTGAAAGCTACCAGTTACCAGTACTCACTGTAAGTCTAAGTACTGACAATCACAATCTAGCTGCGCAAGCATACTCTTTTAACGGCTCTCCTTTGAATCAACACCCAAAATGGCGGCATGCCACATTTTGGCCATACAATATCCAAAAATATCCGAACGACGGTGTTCACGTATATCTAAAATACAGACTTTCTGCCAAGGAACAAATCGCAGCAAAACTTGAATTACTTGACAATCAATATCAACATTGCACACGGTAGTAGTAGCAGACGATAAATACCGACCGTTGACAATTTTGAGCGTTTCTGCAGACGACGATACTAGCAGACGATATTAGTGACCGTTGACCACTTTCGAGACATTACAGACGATGAAAGCCGATTAGCAATACTGTGTTCTTCCGATTGGAGGATTTAGCAGCAGATGTCAGACTTGTCGGCATGCACCAAACGCGATTAAACTCATAGCCGAGCATATCCCCATCGCTGCTACGCGCGGATGGGGGGGGCCAAACTAGGTACCTGGGACTGACAAGTACAGTGATTGGAGGAAGTTGCAGGAGATGCGGTAGCTGCCGCTCGTGAGTCCCAGCCATCTAGTTTTGTCCCCATCCGCGCAGCGTGTAGCGGCGTGGGGGATACGCTTTGCAGTGAGGCACACTCGCAGAAGCAGGTCGGCAAGTAATGTATCGCCAAGACCCTGTCAGAGCATTTGTTTCGTTATCCGGAGCCGGCACATATATTTTTAATAGAACTGACCCGCATTCAGATATTTTTGGATATTTTATTATTTTTATGGCAAGAATTTGGCCAATTTAGATCTCTTTCGAACGCCATCATATTAAAGCCGCCATTTTGGGAGTTGATTCAAAGGAGATCCCTTATAAGTTATAACTGTATAACAGCAACGAGAATACTATCACCAGATACCCTCTCGAGTGTAATCGTTACCTGCTAACGCTTACACATGCAAACCGATCACACTCCACCACTGCAGATGTAGCATTAAGTAGTAACTGGTACTAGTAACTACTAACCAATGTCTGTGATGTTAAAAGTAAATAAAAGTACTCGCCTCTTAATTTTTTTTTTTTTTTATTCCAAAAAAAAAAAATCGGATCGGTAGAGTTAAGTCGAAGAAACAAACTGGACTAATACTAAAAAATATATAAAGTCTCTACCGGTACTATCTGCGACACCTACTGGAGTAACCATCCTTATTCTCCATGTCATATTTAAAACTACCTACCATCAACGTCCATTTCGCCGATCCCAACCAAACGACAACACGATCCTGTCAAAGTTTAACAGTCCGCCGGGAACACGACACAAAACATTGCATGTAGCCGGAAGTAGGAAATTATTGGATTTTGTGCATTAGAGAGTCATCATCATCATCATCATCATCATCATCATCTTTATCATCATTATCATCATAATCAATTTCCACTTCTGCCGTTAAGCGCTGTAGGAAGGGAGAGTTTGCAATCCATTGTTTGATGGGCAGCAATGGCTATTGTCATTCCGTGTCGAGGTAGAGGCTCTTTAACGTCATCAATCTATACTCGTCTAGGGCGGCCTCTTGTTTTTACTTCAGATTTTATAATGTGCAGCGCCTTCGATGGTAGTTGTTCTGGCTGCATTCATACTAAATGACCAAACCATTTGATCTTCTGTTTTTCAATGAATTTGCCACATGGTATTGTTCCTACGCTCTGATAACATCATTTCTAACTTTGTCTCGTATAGTTAAGTTGTCTGCTTTTCTCGGGCATCTCATTCCACATGTGGTAATTTTAGGTAGGTTAGCCTTTGATAATGTAGTCTGACACTGGTAGCGTATATGTTAACCAGTATCATTGCACACGGTTATAAACCCTAAGTGTTCTGCCACCAGTACGGACAGCTGATAATAATTGTCTGCCTATGTCGCCGTTCACACGTAACTCTGTAGCTACAGCGAAGTTCCTCCATTTACCCCAAAGTGTCAACTCTGGTACCCATTTCCTAGGGGCTGGGTGAACCCCGGGAGCCGCCCGGTTTCGAAAACCTACCGTGGGCTGCAGCGAGTCGCAGTTGGATTTGAATGCGAGCCTCTTATCGACTTCGCTAACGCGGCCCCTTAGTGTTGGTATGAATATGCTGTTAATAATCTGTTTCTTGGCACTCATACTTATGTGTGGATGTCCTAATAACGGTGTCAGTTGCATATAAGCGCACTGCACTGGCTCAATGGCATCTTGTTTCTATTCTCCGATCTATTCTTCCGTCCTTCGAGAATGCTTCATAAATATCTTAATTCTGTAACTTGCTTCGGACATGTACCATTTAACTCGATATTTAGCATACTAAGAATTCATCTGACCTGCATTACATTAGAGAATGCTCCACAAAATTTTCACCAAGATACCAAATATTGTACATCATTATTAGATTACATTTTAAAAAGTGAGTTTTGGAGAGCAGAAAGTTCCGATTAAAACAAAAAACTGTTGTCGGCCAGGCTTGTGTTCTCAACACCCTGCTTTATGGCATTAAGATTTAGTCATCTTATTCGCACCAGGAAAAACGTGTAAAAAAAAAAAAAGCTTTAACATGCAATACCCAAAAAGAATACTTTTCATTAAGTGGCAGGACAAGATCACAAATGCTGAGGTATTGGAAATAGCTGTCATTATAACAGTCTTCTCAATGCTCAGTCTACGAAGGCTCAGGTGGCTGGGACACACATGGAGAATGAATGATGGTAGAGTCCCTAAGGACATCCTCTATGGCGAATTTAAGATGGGTAGAAGATGTAGAGGCTAACATCTACTACGATATAAATACGTGTGCAAGCGGGACATGAATGATACAGATATTCAGGTTGACTCAGAACAAAATGTCATGGACCATGTTGTGTGGAGGGGCACACCAGAAAGGAAATGAGAATGAAAAAAGAAATGAGTGCAAAAAGGATTCGAGCTGAGCGTCTGAGAATTAACAGACTAAAACACAAAAGTTGACAACAACGGTCCTGAAATCACATGCTCTAATTGGGGAAGACTTTTCTTCACGCGGGCGGGTCTTATCATAAACCTCAGGAAGCGACAGTGGACATTTCTTTGGTCGTGTTATAAGCACATGAAAACTTGACATATTGTTACCGTAGGCAGGATCTGTGGATAAAAGATACAGAGAAAGACAACGCGAGCAACTTTTTGTCATCCTTTTGTCGTTGAATGGAGGTGTGTAAGCATACGAACTGATGCCTGCTGTGGGAGATCGCAGACTGGGAGAGACTTGATGACCCACGCCATTCGGCAAGGTATTTGATAATGATAATATTAAGCCTCAAAACATTTTCACCTGAATTGGTGTGCCACGGGTGTAGAAGAGTTGATGAACACTGGTGCGTACGACCGGAAGCAACAGCGACTTGCACAGGGCTGCCGAAGTTTGTAATTCTGTCTAATTTTAGTCAAATTTCTTTTGAATTCATTCTACTTTAGTACTACTTGACCATTGGCGAGTAAAACATTTCTTTTAGTGCCACGCCCGCTGTTTTAGTACTCTTATTTAAGTGTTGACCCACATTTTAAATGTTGGCATTGTACACTGGATCCAGTAAGTGCTACTAAAGGAAGGCCAACGTTAGTTATGTCATTGGTTACGCCATTGCCCAGCCTTGTCAAAAACAAAAGGACATACACTGACGGGGAACACTTGGGCAGTAGAAACATTGTATATATAATAAATAAATACATAATGTTTTGATCGGTACCCACAGAAGGAAGTAAACATATAGAAGGATACACAAAATATGATATATATATATATGTATATGTCAGTGACTTAAGCGTTGCTAGTCCGACTCGTAATTCCAACGTACCGGGATCGAAACCCACTGCTGGCTGCGGTAATTTCTATCATGTAATAGGGCGTCGCAAGTCGACCCAGCCTAAAATGGATACCAGAATGACTGTTCTAGAGAAGTAAAAACGTCCGGCGTAATGCTGACCACATTACCCATCCAGTGCCGATTGGTCTGTAAAATTATCGGACGCTCTTTCTATATACCCGATGCGCCCAAGGCTTGAAAATGGATCTTTACTTTACTATATATATATGTGTGTGTATATATGTAAGTATTTATGTATGTATATATGTGAGTATATATATATATATATATATATATATATATATATATATATATATATATATATATATATATATATGTGTGTGTGTGTGTGTGTATGTATATATGTATGTATGTGTGTGTGTTAAAAACAGCACTATGAACACATAAATAAGGAACGGAAAGAGCTAATTGTGCAAAATCATTATGCTGAATCAATACCAGCGCAATTGTGATTTACAATTGCAAAAGAAAAATATGCAAATCAAAATCGCCTTCCATTAATTTATAAAAAGTATGTTGAGTCTGTTGACATTACCTCGTTTTTCTGCAGCTGTAGAAAGAGTATTCTTTCTGCTCTACGATATTTACATTTAAACAGATCGCTTTCTCTCAAGACTTCAACAATAAATGTATTGTTGTGATGAGATCAACGCTGTTCTTTTTCTCTTTCTTTGTCAATATCTGCTTATGCCTCTAGGTGTCGCAATTCATCAGACGATCGGCAGCCAGGGCGCGTCTGATGTTATGCAGTCTCAAGGTGTCAGTGACGCCTTGAATCCATATTCTTCTCTGTCTTCCCCTGCCTCTTGATGTTTAATTTTCAGGTTGTACGCTCTTGTTGAATCGTTGGTGTCATTCTCATTAGATGGCCAAACGATTTCATTCTTTGTTTCTCAACAACGTTATTGCTCCAATAAATGCATTGCACCATCTGGGAGCCATTACATCCGCTTTGTAAGAAACGAAAGATGATACAAATACAAGGGTTTCTTCTTCTTTGCGTTGTCCAAATGCAAACTCCAGAGGACAGTTCTAGATGTTCGTCCACCTCTGAACCTGTGTTTTGTTCCAGAACTTGAGTGTTGTGAGTACACCTGTTTCACAGATCTGAATTATTATGCAGACTGTTGGTTCATTGCTTCTCAGACAGAAGCACCCCCTCCGCCCCATCACCCCCTCCGTTATACTACTCTTACGACAGGCTTTATGGGGAGGAAGGAGGGTGTATTCTTGTCTTACCTATATGGGACACTGATAGCGAGGAAAAACAATACTGTAATGGACCAAGTACTTCAATTATGATGAAACATATACTAAGCCAGCTATGTATTTCTTCTTCTTCATTCTCAACTCCCCGAATGCCTTCCGACGTCAGGGCAGGAATAGATCTCTGGAACGGGCCCTTCTGTTCGTTTCGTATACTTTTCAATGTCTCTGATATTTCTGTGGTCCATTTTCTGCGTGGTTGACCTCTAGACCTGTTACCATTGTATCTATATTATATTTGTGTTGCCTTGTCTGATGCCAGTATTGTTACATAACCAAACCATGGATCATGTGTTGTGTTTTGTTACGCTTCTTATAAAATGTGTGTATTATTCCCTAAAAGATTTCGGCAGCCCTGCAGTAGCATCACACATTGACCGTCTATTGACAAAACACAGGCCTGGACACCTGTGGGAGACAGCTGCTGGAATCTGGGCACACGTTCCACGGGGAATCGATGATACCAGCAACGCACACGAAGTAGGTAGCACGGGGTTTCATGTTATAATATCTGCCTGAAAGTGGAAGTAATGAACGGTGAGCCTTAAAGGAATTAAAATATATAGTTAAATAAATATATATATATTTTCACAGTAAGGCAGTATCACTCCCACTATGAAGGTGTAAGTATTGAGTAAGTGACGAAATTATGCAATTATTTTGCAATTAGTATTTCAGTCTTATAATATCTATTTTAATAGTATATATTCCATTTGTTAATAATAATACAGCAATGACTGTAATTTAGAAGTAGGTGTCAGGTAGTATAATTATTTATAATCGTAAATGACACAAAATGTTGTGTAGTAGTAATATTAGTTAAGTTGAGTCAAGAATTGATATCACATCACTCAGAGCATTCCCATGCGTGCTCCCTCCTTATCTTCAGCAGCCTGCGCAGAGTTCCAATACTGATGGTACCGGTCACAATCTGGTTAAATGTCAGGCCTTTCCTCTGAGTGTAGAGAAGAGGGAATCCAAGTGCTTAGATTATTAGGCTATCCTCCTAATAACGGGCACATATAATGGCGGCCAAAAACACACCCTGACAGAGCCACAGTCACATGTAAATTGCGGACTTCCGGTGACTACATC